AATGTTTTTGAATTTATTTTCTTGCTTTGCTTTTTTATTTTGCCCAGGAATGCAAAAGACTAAGTGTGGGGTTCTTTGATGAGTCATTATATTCTTATATTTTCTTTCCTTTCTGAACTTATTTTAATTAGTGTTTTGGGCTTAACTTTCTGTTATTAGTGAATTTTTATTAATTGGGTTTCATTGGACCAATAATTCAGATTTTAATTAATTTGAATCTATTTGATCTAATTTTTGCTATTATTATTTTTATAACAGTTTAAAGAAATTTTGGGCTTAAAAAACTGGACCAGATGCCATATTACAGTTTAAAGCAATTTTGGACTTGAAAAATTGGGTCAATTGTCATATTTTACTTTATACGGGTACTAACATTGGTTCACTGTTTTATTTATCATTTTTTTTACAGAGCTCCAAAAATCATAATTTTAGAAGCATTATAAACTAAACACATTCAACTTTCGAGAGGATCCAGAATTATTCAATTCGGATCTAAATTGGATTTTACATAAATTATCCAAAACGGGTCAAGCGCACCAGGCCGGCCCAATGGACATGCTTAAGTAATTTAAGTCTCCTAAATTCATTAGACCTCTGAAAATAATAGAAACAGTGGCATTTTAAGGCTAACTCAAAAAAGGCTTTCAAAGTAAACTGGAATCGCTTAATTTGAATAAGAATTGAAAATACTGCACGTCTTTGAAGTTCACGAACTTGTACTGAAGACAACTTATGATGTGTTTTGTGGATCAGTTGGGTCCAAACCTAGATTAAGATTAGGGTTAGGGTTATTTGTATAAGGGAGATGTAGGGTTGAGAGAAAAACACACCATGTAGCAGCCACACAACCGCCTTTCATCTTCTGCAATTTGTATTCAAGTTTTTTTACTCTTTTGTGATTGTTTTAAATTCTTGTTTCGATTTTAATTATGTCTCTTCTTCTGCGTTTTTTATTTTCTATGGATAACTAAATCTTTGGATTGATTTTTTGAGGAGAATGCAAGTAGATATTTGAGGTTTTGTTCTTCAATTTCATTTTGTTTGTTCTCCTAACTCTTCTTCTTCTAATCTTAGTGTTGAATGATAATCTGTTTATGCTTAATAAACTGAAACTAATATCATAGCTTGCTTAATTCTGTGTTAGAGATGATATTATGTGATGTATGAAATGCTTAATTGTATAAGGATAATTTTGGGTTAATCTTCGCTTAGTTGGTTAATTTCATGTTGGAATAAGGGTTAAGGAAAAGTTGGGATTAATCTTCCCTTAGTTGGTTAATTTCATATTGGAATAAGGGTTAAAGCTAATTTGGGATTAATCTTCACTTTGTTGATTAATTTTGGATTGGAATATAATTTTGGATTTATCTTCGCTTAGTTGGTTAATTTCAAATTAATTTTGTAACCTAGGATAAGTGACACTGCATTCGAATAAGGAAATCAATTGTTTTCTCATTGTTTTATTCAAATTCTATTTTCTTTAATTTACTGTTTATTATTATTATGCAAAACCCCCTTTTTTGCTGTTTAATTTGCATACTTGTGTACTGTCGCCGCCGTCAAAATGAGGCGGTCGGAGCGACGCGATGGTTCCGACTTTCCAATTTTCGCGTTTTTATAGGTACGGTTACAACGCCTTTAGGTTGTCCGATAACCGGGCTGAACCTAGGGGCGAGGTTTTCAAAAGGGTGTTCTTGGATTGTCCGATAAATGGGCTAACCCAAGAACTAATTTTGAAGGGTTCTTATGGAGTCGCCACCGATGTTTTTACCGGAAACATCGAAAAAAGGGTAAAAAGGCGTTGGTTTTCGAAAACCAACTTTGGTCGTTAAAACCAGAGTTGGGTAAGGGAGTTAGTTACGTGTAAGAGAAGTGTTAGTTCCCTTACGATGCCCCTTTCGGGTTCCTTATGATAGGTCATCTATTTTATAAATAAACTTTTTTAAAAGACGCTTTTACCCTTTTATTAACGGAATTAAAATAACGACTACATGACCCTAATGTCTATCATGCAATTTAATCATAGAAATAAAAACAGTAAGAGAGAGAGGGAGAATGTAGAAAACCTCCGAGGCAAGCTTTATATTAATACTCTTGAAAATTGGGGTGCGTTTTGGTAGCCCTTCACTCTTTACAATGCCGAAAATCTCTCAAAAACGCTATAAAAACTCTAAAGAAACTCTCGGAAACTCCGGAAATGCTTCAGAGGGGTTCTAAGAAGAGAATTTGAAGAAGTTGCAAGAGAGAAGGTGGAAGAACTGTGTGAAATGAGGGTGAAGGCGCGAGTATTTATAGGGATTCGTGCATGTCAGGCCGAGACGGCCGTCTCGTCTGAATATCGATTTGCATAGTCATAAGGAAAAATTGATATCATCCTCACATTAACATTCCCTTTGGCAAAGATTCACACTTAAACCTTCTTCTAGATTGATCAAAGTGCCTATATACACCTGACCACCCTGACTCGATCCACCTCTATCCATAGGTCCAACTTTCGATA